GCTGTCTAAAACCTACAACACCAGAAGCATCAGCAACCGCTGTCTAAAACCTACAACACCAGTAGCATTAGCAACCGCTGTCTAAAACCTACAACACCAGTAGCATTAGCAACCGCTGTCTAAACAAATGTGCTTTTGTGCCTACCTCAAGTTTCTTCTGCATCATCCCATGAAGAATTCCAACTTAAGGTACTAGAATATCTTACCATTAAGCTACAAAAACCAGCTCTTAATCAGCAGATGAGTGAACTGCCACTACATCTTGTGAAAATGTTAAGAAAGAACAGACTTAGGGTTGTTGAAAATAATAACAAAAAATGTGTAAGTACAAAGTCTTTAAATTACTGTAGTTTGTGATTCAGATATTCAGTGATTACCATTGCTGGTTTTACTTTAGAATGACACACAGAGCTTACCATGTCAATCGTCATTTGAAGATAGCGTTTTAGGGACAGGAAGTACTCTCTTGCCAACAACTCCATATCTTCCCATGTGAAAGAGGTTCCTGCTGTTGTTTCTTCTTGTAACTGGGGTACATCTGTTGGGGAGATACCTCTATGGTGTTCTTCATTGTGGTTGTGGAGACAATCATTTTCAGAGTCTAATCCATCGGTAAAGCAGTAGCTTTTCTCGGATTTTTTATATCCACTCTCTTCTTTTAAGTTTTCTCTCACCTCTGATTCTTCCAAAGCAGAAGGTTCTGTGGTTATAGGAAGGGGATTACTGATAGAGTCTAAGCTGTCCCTTGACTGGGATACAGTGCTTGTAGTCGGTTCTGCATGATCAGTAGATAGTTTATGATCATCTATAACACTGTCTAGAGGATCATTCTTTGCTTGATATGGTTCCTGGGGTTTCAGTTTATCCAGATGATTATTCACTTCCATACCAACAGATCCAGAAATAGCCCCAACAGGATCTAGGTAATTTGATTTTTCTGACAATGTGCTACTAGTCGGTTCTGCATGATCAGTAGATAGTTTATGATCATCTATAACACTGTCTGGAGGATCATTCTTTGCTTGATATGGTTCCTGGGGTTTCAATTTATCCAGATGATTATTAACTTCCATACCAGCAGATCCAGAAATAGCACCAACAGGATTAAGATTACTTGATTTTTTTTCAGGTGCATTGAATGCTGGATTGTTATGTTCTTTAAAAGATTGTGCTGGATCCGTGTTAAGTCCCACACCAGATCCTAAATTACCAGACTTTCCAAAATTCAGTTCTTTTTTCAAAGGATCGCTAAATATTTCTTGTTCATTAAAGTACGCTGTCTCACGTGTGTCACTATCAGAGAAATCATGTCTCTTTAATTGAACAGCTTCATTACCAGCATCTGTTTGGTCAACCTGTTCTCTGTCATGAGACATCAGTTTATTATTAGGTACTTGATTGTCTTTAGATTCAACCTGATCATTATCGCGAGCCTCGTTAACCACTTCACCTTCGAAATTAAACTCATTATTCAAAAACTTTTCTACCACTTCTTCTGCAGGTGTGATCTCATCAACCTTAGTATTGTCTGCCACCTTTTCATCAGGACTAGATTTATCATCAAAAATCCCTTCTTCTTTTTGATGACTTGTCTCATCATCAGAATTTCCTTCGTATGTATCTTCTGAGGAATTAGATACATTTCTGATTGTCTCTTCTCCTATCACTTCTTTAGGATTAGACTTATCAACAGTATCTTCTTCATTACTCATCTCACCATAAGTAAAATTTTCTCCTCCCACTTCAGATCTAGTCTCATCAACAATACTTTCATCTGCAGCTTCTTCTTCAGAAGTATACCCTTCTCCAGTAACCTCATCTTCCATATTTTTTTTAGGATTAGTTTCACCATTTACATTAGCTGTTTCTTCTACAATTTCTTCAGCCACTTCTTTCTGATGTTCAGTAGAAGAAGTTTCTTCTGTCTCCTTCTCTTCAGAACTTAACTTCTCTGGCAAAGATTTTCCTCCAGAATCTACTAATTCATGAGGTTGGTCAGGAAACAAAAGGTGTTGATTTGGTACTGGTTCACCTGTCTCACTAGAAATAGCATACTTTAACATGCTAGATGGTTTACTCTGGTGATCAGAAACTGGGCTGTTATTCAATGTTGTTTCTTCTGAAGTATACTCATGTTCCTCCAAAATGGGCTTTTCCTCCTTCAAAGAGGTTTTTTCACCATCATCAGACAACCCTTTATGGCTATTTTCCTGGTGTGATAAGTTCTCAACAGAATGTTTTTGAGAAGTCCCATCTAAAAATGAACTTTCAGGAACATCATTACCTAGACTATCATGGATACTATCTGCAGAATGTGTACTATGAAATGGAGTTCCTTTTGCACTAATGTCATTTAGTTTTTCCGATTGCTCTGCAAGTCTGAATGGTGGTATGAATTCTTCTTCTTTCTGATCTTGAGGAGATACTCCTTGTGTTTCATCAAGAGAATGATTATTTCCATTAGAACCATGACTATGATAATCACCATCAGATAATTTAAAATCCTGCTTAAAAGAGACCGATTTTTCTTCATCCACACTTTGCTTTTCATTATCAACACTATCATGTACGGGGTTTGGATTTAGCCCACCAGTATCTGGATGGGTTTGCTGCTCTCCTGAATCATCTTCATTTTGTTGTAGCATAACAGTTTCTTTCTTCTCTTCAGACGCATAATAATCTAACACCAAATTCCCTAATGCATCTTCAACTTCCACTTTTGTTTCTTCTTCATTTAAAACTTCTAGAACCTTGTTAGAACCTTCAACGTTTTCATTATCACTGGTGTCTATTGGTAAAGTCTTATGGGGATTCTGTTCCCATTTTTCCTCTTCAACAATATGTGCATTTTGCATTTCTTCATTTTTGGTTTGATCAGCATCAGTCATAAATTTTAAAGAATCTTTATTAAAATCCTCAGTTGGTTGTTTCACATCTCTTTCAGGCTGTGAGTGAGGTATTCCATCGGAATCATCTTGTCCACCAAATATATTCTTAAAATATGAGCCAATTCTTTCAACTGCTCCTATGTCAGCATAATCTTCTCCATTTCCTGGCAGATCAGAATGGTCACTATTATTAGGTTCATTATCTTGAGAAACATTATTATCTAAGGTCTCAGATTTTTGGTGATCATGTTGTACAGGTGAAGCCCTTATTGTTGGAGAAAAAGCCTCATCTGGGGCAGAACCAGGTGGTTGATCTTTTAAACTTTCAGGGGGTCTAACTGGTGGTTGCTCATCTAGACCAGCTTTCCCCCAATTTGCATCATTCTGTTGAGGTAAATGATCAGGTGTGGAAGGAGGAAGACTAGCTGATGGGGAAATTAAAACTCTTCCTTCATTTTTTGGTGATTCTACATGTGAAACGGATGTAGAAGTGGAGATATCCAAAATGAGATCTTCATCTAAAGGAAATGTTGTACCATCTATCACAGTAAATTTTGCTTGTGCAACAGAGTTGTCTTGTTCCACAGTTTTTGCAGCTAACGTACTTTCTGCAGACGAGAAGGATGTTCGGACTGCATTTTGAGGAAGGTAGCTATCAGCCAATCCTTCTTGATCACCAGTCTGAGTAGGCATAGGTAAACTATTATCTTGTTGGGGCATTGATGGTAATGATGGTGCTGGCTGAGGAACAGCTGAGGCCTCAAAACTTTGGCTAGTTGGAGAACTGGGATTAAAATCTGGAGCAGGGACCGAATCTCTCCTTGTTTGTCTATTTGCTTCATGAACTGCTCTTTCACTCTGTTCTGTATGAAAAATATTCAAACCAAAGTACATTATACCATTAGATATTAGAAGCATATTTTGTCTTTAATTACAAAGTAGAAAATTCATGTTTCTGCTACAACATTCGCACCATTCAATTTACTGACCACTATAGTGCTATGAAGTATGTTAAAAATGTTCTTAATAATCTAATCCACAAAGATACTAAAACTGAAATTTAGGACCATTCATATTAACTTGATTTTAACCATCCATCTTACTTTACATCTACCAAAACTCAACTGAATCTAAAAACTTCTTTTAATGGATTTATTTCATTATTTTAGTCTGTTATTATTCAAAGGATGTACAACGTCTTTACACTTTTTAAAACTTTTTATTGTCATACGTGAATCAGGAATTTGCCAGATATATGTCATTAACAGTGACTAACGATTACAATGTTTATCTTAAGGTAACCTTATTTACCTGTGTGACGATTTAATTGCCAACACACCTTTATACTTCAAAATGCCTTACTCAGCACCATAAATAACTATCTATTTATCAATCTCTCTCTGCTGCAACATGTTTCAACTTTCTCCAATTAAAAATTTTTTTTTTACCAATAATATGTTTCACTGAAATATACTGATGTTCTTTCCCCATACCAGACACTATCTTTACCTTGGACCGATACATCTTTCCCCATACTAGACACTATCTTTACCTTGGACTGATACATCTTTCCCCATGCTAGACACTATCTTTACCTTGGGATGCATCAGTTTTCCCCATACTAGACACTATCTTTACCTTGGACTGATG